CGAATATCCACGGAGTCACCGCGCCCCAAGAGGTTCGTTCATGAGGCCAAAATAAAACACATCAAAGATATATGGATACACCAAACCGAGGCAGATATGCACCATCGATACCTTCCTACATACTAAATCACGAGGCCAAAATAAAACACATAAAAAGATATATGGATACACCAAACCGAGGCAGATATGTACCAACAATATTTTCCTACATACTACGTGAACACACCAAAACCAACGACGACGTGTCCTCCAACGCATTAATCCAAACTATGTAACAAGTTTAACTGGAGGACCACACCCAAGTACACATTTTCGCGCAAAGCTCTGACAATTGGATGATTGATGCGAGAAACAGGAAGCAGCAAATGAAATGAAGTGAACTCTAAGTGAGTGACCGAAAAGAAACGACACACCAACTCGAATGACACCGCGGCTGCATACCTGCAGACCGCTTCGCCGGACATCCCTTCTTAATCTCCGCCACATCCGGCATACCTCGACCCTCTTCCCGTCCAAAACAGCACCACGCACGGAGCTACTGACAGTTGTGCGGCACAAAAAAAGCCACCACCGTAGCAAAGACCAAAACCAACCACTAACATCGCTCACGCCCAAACCCTAATGAGCCATTAATTCATTGGTTGCACCTCGCATCCTGCCTGGTTCGCCTGGTTGGAGATTCTAGCGGCAACGCGTTAGAGGGGCCTACCCCCCCCCCCGTCTGTTAACCTCCGCAGCCACAATAATCGAAACTCCTCGGTTTGACCAGGGCCGGCATGAAGCCACGCAGCAACATACAGCAGTAGTACAAAGCAAGCACTCCGAATCTGCCGCCAGGCACACTACATGCGTGTGCTTCTTGCGTGTGCCTACCTGCCTGCCTCTCTCTTTCGCTATCGTAAACGGGACACACGGCATCGCGCCCGTGATAGCCCAGTCCACATCACCACCCTACCGTTGTCGCCGTCGCCTCCGTTTTCTTCGTGGAGACCGACGCTACAACCACCAACCAGCCAACCTAAACAAGTACAAACTACTTCTTTTTCCTAGAATCCTTTTCGTAAACACGGCACAAGAAAATCCGTATCAGCCGACAAGAGAAAAAAAACGCTTTTTACCGTACTACACAATGACTGCTATGTGTGTCCTAGCGGAAAACAGGCAGACACGCCGCCCTAGGTCTGATATATTTCACGCAGCAGCCTCCACGGCCTAAGCTCTCGCCGCCTATGGCTAACCAATAGCCTTACCACTTTTTTCGCAACCAAACACAACGCAGGTTCTCAAGAAAGCAACCAAGTCCAATGGGGGCACGGCAAGAGGAAGCCAAAGTAGCCTCGACGAAAGATATTTACTTATAATGCGTTTTTGCATAGTCTCTTATGCACCACGACCGATCGCTCTTTTTCTCTTTCACCTAATGTACGTACGTAGCCCACACGCTCGCTCTCAGCACTCCTAATAAAACTCAAACTCAAAGAATAAAACCTTTGGACGCGGAAACTCGTTGTTCCGCTATTGTTATCCGCCGTCTAGTGGCGCTTTGTGCCTTCTCTCGCCACAGCGCCCCCTCTGGCGACCGCAAACACAATCTAGTCACACACACCTTTAGAGAATGGACCGTCCATTCCATGGCCAAAACATACGGAAATTGAGACTACAACAGGATGACAGAAAAAATGTGCTAGATCACTCACTGCTGCCACTTACTGCCGCAGAAGAAAGGTGAGATAAATATTGCATATTCTCGTCTGCGCAAAGATAAATCAATTGGAAGTTCGAAATAGACAGGCCAAAATTGGCGAAGAAAGTACAAAAAAGGGGAAGAAAATAAACTGGTATAGACTAAAAACCGTGCCTTGGTTCATCCACCGACGTCGACATCGGGGACACTGGCTCTACAACAGCAAGGAACGGCTTCTAGACAAGCAAGAGACAGCCAGACAGACAGGCAGACAAACAGCCAGACAGAGCAAAACAGTATTAGTAATAGTTTGACCTTGGCAGCGCAAAATATGGCACGTATTGTGGTAAATAGAGCCAGCCGCGCACCACCACCCTTC